CAAGAGAAAAATATTACCACACTGCTTCAAAGACTGCAAAGTTGAATATGAACACCTACTAATTTCCAAATATTCTTCTAGACCAAAGCATAGCTTATAATTATTTTTAAAACACACACACTCACACGCTACAATTTAGCTATCTATAGAAGATACATCATTACTCAGGCACAAAACAGATTGATGGTTATTAACCTATTTTGATTCAGACACCCCTTTGAGAATCTGAGAAATGCCACAGAATTTGAAAAACGCCATACAAGGAAAAAGTGAATATAATTTCAGATAAATGACAGCCCTTCAAATTTAATCAAGGATTTAATATTCTTTACCCACTAGGCCAGAATATTATGTCTAGTTGTTTATGGAAAGGAGAACTGGGAAAACAGAAATGGAAGGAAGATTTTTTTTCACTATACACCCTTTTGTATCTTTTTGAAATCTGAACCATGTAACTGTGATAACTATTCAAAAAATAAATAAGTTGAAAGCAAAAAGCAATATTCCCAAAAAAAGGACAGGATACCAACACAATAGGTGAAAATCTCCAAATAAAATTCTCTAAAAAACTACTCTACTAAATTCAATACACTTGGAAATTGTTTCTTCTAATTTCTTGGTTGGAAGAGATACAAAGCTATAATATTGTTTTAAAGGTTTCACAAGTTGGGGGGGGCCCTCCCTGGTGGCGCAGCGGGTTAAAGCACAGCACAAAGAAGCTTAAGCCATTTCTGCATGAGTTTGATCCCCGCCTGCCCTGGAGGAGATCCACATGGCACAGCAGACCTCTCCTGATCCGCCCGCTGCTCCCCTCAGCAGTGTACTGCTCCCCACTCTGTCTCTGGTGAATCCTCTCACCCTCCGCACCTCTGGCCTGTACCCCAGTTCTGTACGAATAAGTAAATAAATCTAAAAAAAAAAAGTTTCACAAGTTGGGCCCTCCCTGGTGGCACAGTGGGTTAAAGCACAGCACTAAGAAGCTAAAGCCACTTCAGCCTCAGTTCAATCCCCACCCCAGAGGTGATCCACATGTCACCGCAGACCTCTCCTGACCTCACCCGCTGCTTCCCAGAGGTGATCCACATGTCACAGCAGACCTCTCCTGACCCCACCCGCTGCTTCCCTCAGCAGTGTACTTCCTCAGTTAGCCTGTTCTGCTCCCCACACTGTCTCTGGTGAATCTTCTCACCACCCTTGCACCTCTGGCCTGTACCCCAGCTCTGTATGCATAAATAAATAAACCTTGAAAAAAAAAAATTCACAAGTTTCCAATGTTAGCATTTTGACAGGAACATATAAAAATTTAAATAATTGTAATTATTCATATTCTAACTTAAGAAATCCCAGTAATAGCTATCATATATTTAACCTGGCACAAAATAAGTAATCACTAATGAATACCAAAGTTTTGAGATTCTAAAATGAGTTATGTAATTACTGTTTACAAAATTTCCATTTTTCAAACTCCCCTAACGTTAAAAATCTTGAAGTCAGGTCTTTATAGCAAAATACAAATTCAACTGTAACTTACACTGTATCCCAATAAAAATAAACTCAAACCTTCCAAGTTAATCATAGCAATACTATAGAAAAATTAATTCAAAGCTATCCTTCAGCATACATTTACATTTATTCTGGTTTCTCCTAAGGAAATGGCCAAAAACAAACAAAAGACCTGCTGTATTTTCTTTATATGCTGTCAATATCTCCTAAAGTTGGTAAGAAGACAACACAAAAATAAAGCCCAATCCACTGTAAGGAAAATAAATGTCATTTGTCAAACTATAGTCACAACAAAAATCAACAGCAAATGTATATTTCTGAAGTCTGTATCTGATTCTCCTTTTTTGTTATTCCGTAGATGTGAAAATCTAATTTATAAAATACTTTTCAGAATATTTTCCCATACATGCTTACTACATAAGAATCACTTTCAGTCTGTCTGGATTAAGTTTGTGGATATACTTAGTACTATATGGTCTTGAAACTCTCCAATTTTCCCCTCCTGGCAACATATAAAAGCTCAAAATCTGTATCATTGAAAAGCAGAGGTTTAGAAAAGTTTCAATACTACTACATTCCACTTAAAAAATGAAAAGGATATGCAAATTAAAAATAAGCGCATGAAAGGGTATGCAATACCACTAATTATTAGAAAAATGCAAACAAAAACACAAGAAATACCACTTAACACCCACTATGATGGCCATTACTTAACAACAACAACAAAAAAAACCCAGAATATAGTAGGTACTGGTAAGGATGTGGAGAAATAGGAAACTGTGCATTGCTGGTGGAAGTGTAAAATGGTACAGTTGTTATAGAAACCCATGCAGTGGACCCTCAAAAAAGTAACTATGATCCAACAATTCCATACACACCACCACTGGATAGATAACCAAGAGAAGTGAAAGGAGGGTCTGGAATAGATATTTATAGACACACAGTCACAGAAGCATTACGACAACAGTGAAAATGCTGAGGGGATATAGAAGCAACCCAAGTGCCCTTGGAGAGATGAACCATGTATATAGCTCCACCGAGACACCAGTCACCCTTAAAAAAACAAATGTGACACAAGGCAGATCTTGAATGAACCCTGCAGATATTACGCTACCAAAATACACAAATGATAAAGGATTCCCTTCACATGTCACCTCTGGTAGTGACATTCAGGGAGGCAGAATGGCAGTTACCGGTGGAAAAGGAAAGAATAGAAAATGTTGAGTGGACACAGTGTTCAGTGTTTTGATTGGGAAAGAAAAAGTTTTTGAAATGGGTAGGGGTGATGGTTATACAACAATGGTATCTACTACACACTGAAAAATGGTTAAAATGGTAGATTTTATGCTATGTATATTTTAATCACAATTAGAAAAATAAGGTGAGGAATACCAGTGTATTAAAATGTGCCAAATTCTTCTCATGTAAGCCTCATCCATTACCCAAAAAAACAATAACTACCCTGACTATGAGCAGTCAATTTCTAATCTTAATGTTCACCAGAAACCCCAAGAAATTAATATAATAAAGTACAAAGTTCTCTCTAATTCTAAAAATGTTTTAATCTACTTCCTCAAAATAAGATCCTTCATCAGAGACAGATGCTAATAGTAATTATGTCTAGTTCAGTTTAGATAAATTACTGAAAAAGCCAATTTACCCCAATTTTGTGTTTCAAGCAACATCAGTTTTATTCCCAGAAAATTTTCCTCTTTTATTCTTCCAAGTCTCATAAGGATTATTTTCTTTTTTACCCAAAAAATCTTTAATCAAACTTACCTCCCCTAAAAACACTAAGAACTCATCTCTATTAATAAGTTATATGTCTAATGATATATATCATCTTTTACAATAATCAGTATTTATTTAACTTCCACTAATCTCAAGTCTAACCACTGGAATCCCATTTATTAATCTCCCTCCCTTTATAAAAATGTCCCCATCAGAAAAGTAGAAGCTTGAAATACTGTAGGCTAAATTTTGAGCGTATTTTTCCGAGTCAAACTACAATTTTTCTAACAACTTTTTATTTCACAGACTATTAAAGAAATAAATGGTGATAAACTAGGAGACCAGGATGTATGATTTCCTCTGAGCCAATAAAGGGGCATCTGTTCACTTTCTCAAATGCTCAGGAGACAAAAACCCCCTGTCAAGGTAGAAGTGACATTTTCCATACTATAATAAAAGTTATGCTCCAATATACTTAAATACTGCCTGTCAATTAACACAAAGCAAATAAATGAAAATTTAAAGGGATAAAAAGCATCCATATATCCAAAGAAAATGAAAAAGGTTTAATTTAGAAAAAAGGTTTTCACATCAAAAATTTGTTCCTAATTCATTACAAAGAAAATAGTATTAAACTAGGTCCTCCCTGGTGGCACAGGGATTAAGGTCTCAGCACTATCAAGCGACTGGCAGCCACTGTAACATGAGTTCAATCCTTTAACCAGGGAGTTGAACCACATGGCGCAGCAGACCTCTCATGTCTCACCCACGTTCCCAGAAGTTCAGCAGATCTGCCTGTCCTGCTCCCCATTCCCCATTCTGTCTCTCATGAATCATCTCACCTCCCCTCACCAACCCCCCCCACACACACACACACCCCTCTGGCCTATACTGCAATTCTTGTACACATACATAAATAAAAAAAAAATCTTTGAAAAGAAAATAGTAGGGCCCTCCCTGGTGGCGCAGCAGATTAAAGCACAGCACTAAGAAGTTGAAGCTACTTCGGCATGCGTTCAATCCCCACCTATCCTGAAGGTGACCCACATGGTGCAGCACACCTCTCCCCACCCACCCGCTGCCCCTCTCAGCAGTGTGCTTCATTGATCTGCCTGTTCTGCTCCCCACTCTGTCTCTGGTGAATCCTCTCACTGCCCCTGAACCTCTGGACTGTACCCCAGTTCTGTATGCACAAATAAATAAATCTTTAAAAAAAAAAAAAAGCTTAAAAAAATAGTATGAAATGAGTATGATCATCATATACCATATTTACTTGTACTATCTAAAAACAAGAATGCATATAATCAAAAACTAACAATTTTTTCTTGATTTTTAAAAATGAGTTCTTACAAATATCATTTTAATATAAAGTTAAAGGTACCATCTCCTCCACTAGGTATACTGCCTGTGAACTAGAATTTTTAGCTGTCCTTGCACATAATGTATCCATGGAAAGGTCTACTGAAATGTAAAAAAGAAATAGACCCAAACATCTCAAAGTTCCTCTGGCATTCAATTTTTCTACTACCAATGTAAAAGATTCTCCTGATACTTGTCCACAGCTATTAAGATTAAACTGAACCTTTCAGAAGGGAAAAGGGGTGCATCTAGTCAGATGCCAATAATTCCCATGTGTCTAAAATCTCCCATCCCTTTAATTTGCAACACAGAATTTAACAGGTATGAAACTCTATAAAAGGGATATTTTATAGAGACATAAAAAAAGATCAACTGAAAAAGAATCCATCACCTGGTCATGGCCTTACCTTTCAGCAGCGGCAGAGGTGTTAACTCAATGGGCTTGCCTTGAGACCTAAACTGTGAGGAACTCTGCGACCTCTTCTGTCTGGCTTTTCTGACGGACTTCCGAGAAAATCCGTCTACTTTATCCACTGATGGAGGAGTAGTTGGTGCTGAGGACATATCCCTACTAAAGAGAAAGAAGTGTCAGACATTCCCAAGATGGAAGCATATATATTACACACATTCTAAAATTCTCACACACAGTATGCATGAAAATGGGAACATGTGTTTAAAGAAAGCAAATCAAATCAATTGAAAGTCATCTATTCAATGGAAAAGTATGAAACTTCATAAGAAACAATGTAACTATCATATAAGCAGTACTCTAATGTACTGTGTTGCTACCATTATTATAAATATTGAAGAGGCTCATGTAGATGAACTCTTCTAAGCCATCTACTCATTTTCTAACTGCAGATCTCTTCTCATCTTAAGACTCCAGGAGTAATTTTGGAGCTACTCTGCAGCTGGAAAACTTCCATCAGTACATTTTCCCAAAATATTTAATATTATGAATGGGCTCTTATTGTACTTCAAGAACCTAATGTATCTATCACTATGTAAAATTTACAATTACACTGAAACTATCTAGGCATGACTTTTAATGCAATATGGTATGCTAGCTATGATAAGCTACAACACACTGCAAATGAGAACAGGCTAGATAACTTTAAACAGAACACATAAAAGGCATAATTAAAATCATTTCAAAGAAGTCTTTTTGAATGAAGCCATCTTAAGTTATTAAAGCTTAATAAACAAAACTATGATGAAATCATGCACCAAAGGGAACTGAAAACATAAATTCACAGTCTACGTAGAAAAACTATGTTGAATTCCCTTTAAATTTGTCATCAAATATTAATTTTCATTTCAAGTTGATGAAACTTAATCATTCTCTTGGATTTTTTAATGCTCTAAAATTATTAAAATGAAGGCCAGTTCCTAAAAGAACAAGTGTTAGGTGTAATTCCATTCACCAACTTAAACAGATGTCATCATTTCCATGGCACGGAGGCTTCAAGCAAGATTAATGGAAGACTCAGACAGAAATAATGTATATGGGGAAAATGCAATTACTCACCTGTCATTCCAAAAGAGAAAACAAGTGTTTTTTAATTTCTAAAAGTGTATTTCCCTGCACATGTAAAAATTAAATTTACCTGGATTCTGACAAAGTAAAAATAACAAAAGCATAACCAAAAAACGACATGATCTTAAAGTTTGGAATTCTGAAGTCTTGTGTGGCCCTCTTCCAAAAAGGAGTTTTTAGAAATCTACCTAATTTAGCTTTACAAACAATGTCACAGATGCGAAATTAAATTACAAACTGTGAAAGACTATATAAGATTGGAAAAAAATTCATAATGACTGCATCACCAAGAAGCTCCACATCACATGTGTTTGCTGTAAATTTAGGAGATGCTTTTCCAATCTGGTATGTGAATTACTGGCATTCTTACGGTAACACAACGAGATTTCAGTAAATCCCATTCCTCCATCACTCTTTTTGTCCCCTTATTCTTCATCTCCCATCTCTAAAGATCTATTGGTATGTATCTACCGGTAGCAATTTTGTCTTTTCAATAATCGTTTGCTCCTTATGCCGGCAACCCAGAATAAACGTCAAGGATCTCAAACCTAAAGCGCTGCAGAACTCAACATGCAGCAGCAGCCGATCAGTGCAAATCCCAGGGAAACAGGTTTCGCCCTGATCCAGGGCACCCAAAGCTTTATCATCCTTCAAGCAGCGCACACAGGTTATTTCTAAGGTTCAGCAATAATCCAAGAAAGACAGGGAGTGGGGTGTCTGTAGGGATGCTCACTTCTACACCACCCCACCCAAGCACTGGAAAAGATAAGGTGCTACAGAATCTTCTTCATTACACCAAGCCCCCTTTTCCCACCCCACCCCCGCCCCCGCTAGTGAGTAAAGGGGGACAAGAAGACGCCTCTAATTCCGGACCGTGAAGAAAAGGGGGGAGGGGGCAGAGTGAATGCAAGGCATCATCAGAAGCATTTGCAGGTAAATCAGACAAGTGGGACGGGCGCTCCCTCTCCCGCATCCCACCCCAACCCTCTGCACCCCTCGCCTGCCCCGGCCAGGCCTTTCCCAGGCCGGTGCCCTGCAGACTCCCCAACAGGACTGAGAGAAGGAAGGGAAGCCGGCGAGCCGCCGCGGTCCTGGAGGGACGAAGTTACCTTGAAGCTTCTGGGGAAGAATTCGAAGATGATCTGTGGTTTCGAGGAGCGGGAGACGCGAGAGCGGACCGTAGAAGGGACGGGTGGCGGGACCGGGATGTGCAGGGGGAGGTCCGGAGCCAGGGGCGACGACTGTCCGGCGCGGCGTCCCTCCGGTTGCGCGGTGGCGGCGCCTTTAGGCCTCACGGCCGGACCTCAACCTCAGCGCTCCAGCGGCGGCGGTGGCCTCACGATCCTCCCCCGCGGGCCCGTCCCATCAAATCGGCACCGACCCCGTTGCGGCTCCGCCGGAGGCTCCTCGCTCACATTCCCGGCGGGCGGCGCCTCTGCTCGTTGCCCGGGACCCGGCGGCGACGACGTGGGGAGGGGGGGAAGGGAGGGAGGAAAACAGGATCCGCAGCGGCAGCAGGAGGTGAAGGAAGGAAAAGGAGGAGGAGCCGCTGGAGCTGGAGCCGCCGCTGCCAGAGCCGCCGTTCGGTACCCGCTGTGGGTCCCAGTCAATGCCCCTTTCTCTCTCCTATTGTCAATATCACCGGGCGGCTGAGTCCATGGCACACGCGCAACCGAACCTTCGAGCCAGCAGCACCCGCCTCCCGCGCCCTCTCAATGGACGCTTCAAACGGGAAGCGAGACCTCATTGGCCCGCTTCCGCCTTCACTCTCGTACCAGCATGTTCGGCTGAGAGCCGATCGGGGATTGGCGGCGGAGGGGGGGCGAGAAACTGGAGGGTGGGAAGAGAGCCGGCCTAGGATTGGGCTGAGGCGAGAGGGACCCGGATGCAGCCGCGATCTCCGGCCGCGCTGTTGCCGCTTCCGCCAGGCGGTTGGGTAGGCTGTATCGCGGAGACTCTGCAACCTCTGGGCCTGAGAGGTTCCCCTTAGACCCTGGAGCCGTGCGACTGATGGATCGGTGGGACGGGTTTCCGCGCAATGCGGAGCCTCTGGGCGGCCGCCGTCTTGAACCAGAGAATTCCAAGGACAAGAGTTGTCTCAGAGTGGGGGCGCCCCCCTTTAGCGCTTAGGATGGCCATTCTGAGCTCGACGAGTCCCATTCTGGACCGGAACCTGCGCTGCGTAGAAAGAAATGCGATCCCCCGCCCTCGCCGGTGCGCCACCGCTTGTGTAAATGGGTCCCCGGCTGCCCGCTGTTAACCCCAGCGGTAGCTTTTCGCTGAAGCTTGTGGGCATTCTGGCCCAGAAATCTAAACCCCTGGGGCCTGGCCAAGGGTTGGGTATCGCTTCGAATTCTCTCGCACCTCATCTCCTTTCCTCTAAACCTCAGTTTTGAATATCAGCTCTTGTGAACCTCGGCTGAGGCCAGCTCCGTGTGGCCTGTGCCGGGGAACGGTGTCTGTTCTGTGTGTCCGGCAATCATTGGGAACCACATAGGCCCTCCTGCTGCATAGCGTCTTGGAAACCCAGCTCCCAACTGGGAGCTTGCAAGACTTGTCATTGGCAAGCTGGATCTGAGTTAATGGAGAAGACTTCATTTAACTCTACCGAAAGCAAGTGATAAAATATTTAGAGATGTCTTTGCCTCCTTAGTGAGCCCTAAGCGAAATGGTGCATTTCCATAGACTATTTTTAGAGTCGACACGTTTTTTTCTTTTTTTGGGGGGCTGGGCGGGGTGAGAGTTGTTAAGTGGGATTGGGCAGGACAGTTAAAATAAAGAGCTATACGTATAAATAAAACCGTATGTACAAGTGACGACAATCAAAAGAAAGTGCATTGCCATCGCTTGTTTAACACTCAAAAGTCTCAAATTTCTATGTATACTCCCAGAAATGGCTCCAAGGGGAAAAAAATTTTGCCATAAAAGAGAATAAATATTCCTGTTAGGAAATGAAATGGGAAACAAGGAACGATAATTCTCTTAGATGGAAGCAGGCTCCCCCTACTGACTCCTGATAATTGGCCACCTTACAGATACCTTAGTGTCCATGTTTACTCTGAAAAAGTTGATCCCGACCAGGCCCTATAAACCCAGCTATAGTATCAGTGTCCTATCTTTTAAAACACTTTTCAATTTCTGGTATCAGACTTCATGAAAAGTTCAGTGTCTTAGTCACGCAGAACTTGTTTGTTCAATCTGATTGAGAGTAAATGCAAAATTAAAAAGAAAATTTTAAAGCCAACTCAATTTCCCTTGGCAACAGTTGAACCGTTAAAGACTAGTGCACGTTTGAAATGCTCACAGCTGTTGCTTAGAACATTTCACATTTTGTGGAGTGGGGCTTTTTGCTTGCAAATTATGGATCTCTATAAAGACAATTCATTTCAAACTATTTCACTTGCTATAAATGTCTGCATAACTGAAATGTGCAGATCTTCTTTAATGGAAACATCCATGCAAATGTGAGAAATTGTTTTTTGGGCCAATAGTTTCTGAGGGAGATTCATGCAGCCCAGGGGGTTGTGTGTACTCCAGGAATAGTGCAAGGCGATCCATTCGGGATCCAAGAAAATACTAGGGTATTTATTGAGGCATTGAGCTCAAGTTACATTTTTTTATACAGAATGAGAGACTCTTCACTCAGCCCATGGAAGTGTCTCTTTACCTAGAGCATCATTGGATCCACCCTCAAGGAAAAATGAAAGCTACCTATTTCCAGAGATGGGCAGTGGTGGCCTCACCTAGCCTGTCCCTGTCAATAAGTAATGACAAATGACACTGCAGCTTGCAAGTTTGGCTTTCCTGATTATATTATCCAGGTTTAATTAACCCATAAAGTAAAGAAAATTTATCAGAGTCCTTTGCAAAGAAACCACAGGAAAACCAGCAAATGACAGAACTGATACTTCTAGTGTCATATCTTTGGCAGCCATATCTCAAAGTTAAAATAACAATCTAGTAAATCCAAGTAAATTTTGGCTTAAAAAATATCAAATTCACAAGCAGATTATTTGAAATGTGGATTTGTATCCACTATTATTAACAGTGAACGTCACCCTACGCATATATTGTGATTGTTACGAGCTAATGATAGTGTCATACATTTACACTAAATAAATATACATTTATTTGGAAGACTTACTCCCAAAACAAGTGTAAATGATTTAAAAAGCTTGAAGTTGCTACTCTAGATAAGACAAAAAGGAATATAGCCATCTGGGAAACCATTATCAAGTAACAAACTGTCCATTGCTATCAGATAAAAAGTATTCACAGATAAGCCAGAAAGAGAAAGAAAAATACCGGATGGTGTCACTCATAGCAGGAGTATAATGGACCAGGCGAGAAAATAACAAAAATAATGAACAACCATATACCAGAGACATTCTGTGGGGGTGGAGTGGGGAATGGGATCAAAAACGGGGAGGGGGGGAAAAGGGAGGGAAATGCACGGGACTGTGGTGGTGGCACAGGGGTGATTTGGTGATGGGAAACCCGCGGGGATTACAATCGAGATGGAATTAAAAAATGTGCAAAATGAAAATAAATAAATAAATAAAAATTATAGTAAAGTGTAAAAAAAAATAAATTTCAATAGACAAACAAAAAAAAAAAGTATTCACTTCCCAACTAGCAAGTCAGAGTTTATCATGAATCTACTGTCAGGTTGACCATGTGATGAGAATAAAGGACATAAACTATCAAATGGTGGCTGAATGGTGACATAAGAAGGGCTAAGAGAATAAACAGAAGCATCATCAAATCCATTATCAATCATTAGAGGAAGAAAAGAGGTATGCTGATAAGATCTCCTCCTCAGTAAACCCAGTTTCTGTGGGGGCGTGAAGGGTTCATGTAGCTGGTTATAGGCTGAGATGGAGGAACAGTGGAGAACCCAGAGGAAACCGATATACAAAGACAAGGGACTTTTGGTATTTCTTTAAACCGCAATAATCTACACAGGAAGCACCTTCATCAGTGACAGTTTCTTAGGTCACAATTTAAAGGGCAATTACAGTTTCAGATGTATCTCAAGGATGGTAGGTTTTTCATGACTCTCCTCATGTATGATTATTGCTTGAGATTTAAAATGTTTATGTGCTCCAGTTCCCTTCCTACCTAGGGCATCGATAAATTGAGACAGGAAAAAAGAACCCCATATCACTAATGGCAAAAGAGAATTGGGAGAAAATGGGGGAAGGAGAAAACCAGATATAAGTACACTTTATTTCACACAGGATAAAATGCAAAATACTGTACCACAAGCAATAATTTTGCTTATGATATAGTCAAATTGCACAATTAAAAATCTAAAACTGGGCCCTCCCTGGTGGCGCAGCGGGTTAAAGCACTGCACTAAGAAACTAAAGCCACTTCAGCATGAGTTCGATTCCCGCCTGCCCCGGAGGCGACCACATGGCGTGGCAGACCTCTCCTGACCCGCCCACTGCTCCCCTCAGCAGTGTACTTCGTCGATCTGCCTGTTCTGCTCCCGCTCTGTCTCTGGTGAATACTCTCACCCTCCGCATCTCTGGCCTGTACCCCAGTTCTGTATGAATAAATAAATAAATCTTTAAAAAAAAAATCTAAAACTATAATTAATTACATAAGCATAATGAGGAGAACACAGACTCTGGAATCAGATACCTACAGAGAACCCTAACTCTCACAGTCAGGAGGTGGGAGAAATGACAGCCTTCACAGTCTTGGTTTCTCAATCTGTATGAAAGCAGTCTAACACTAGCTCATAAAGTAGTCATCAGATTTAAGTGAGATTATACATTTACTACAATGCCTGTCACATGTTAATTGCTCCATACATACTGTTACCATCATCATTGACTTTCTTCTAATTTAAGTACTTTTTATCTGTCTAAAAACATTAAGAACTTTTCTTTTTTTCTCTATCTCAAAATTTTATTCTGACATATCCCATTATGACAAGGAACAAGAGGCAGGGAGAAGCATGCCTTTCAATACACTTCTATACCAAATTACAGAATGTATGTGGAAGCATTCATTAACATTAGGAGGGATTTGCATTTTATAATATCCATATACTTCTGAAAGTAAAAAAAAAAAGACAACATGATTTCATGTTTTGTCATGTTTTTATGCAGAGTTTTCTCTTCATTTCTAATTTAGATTCCTTTAAAAGAAGCCCAAACTATTTCTACTCTTAAGTGTCTCTGTTTGCCTTCCTCACTGTAACCTGCAGAACTACAGGTAGATCGAGGCCCTGACTCCTAGCCCTCAGCCCTTGGCCTGCCTTTGGTGTGCTGAATATCTGCTTCCCACTATCTCACCTTTTACTTCTGATAACTAGACTCCTCTCAAACTCCTGAACCTGGGAGAACTGTTAGCCATACAGCTCCGGTTCCCTCCAAACCCCTCCCCGCCACAAAGAGGGGTACATGACTTATGACCTTCTCCATCTCCACCTCCATCATGGAGAAAGTCAATACTGTGAAAGAAACTTGACAGATGCCAAATTTTAACAATACAATTGGAGCCACTGGATCCAGCTATGTCCAAAGCTAGTTTCAGTTATTTGAGCCAGTAATTCCTTTTTTATTTTTAAGCTACTTTGAGCTGATTTTCTTCAACTTACACCCAAAAAAAAAATTCTGCCTAATAAAACACAGAT